CATATATATACATACATACAGTGCATACATACATATACATACATACAGTGCATGCATACATATACATACATACAGTGCATACAGTACATACATATACATACAGTACATACATACAGTACATACATATATACATACAGTACATACATATATACATACAGTACATACATACATACATACAGTACATATATATACATACAGTACATACATACAGTGCATACATACAGTACATACAGTACATACATATACATACATACAGTGCATACAGTACATACATATACATACATACAGTGCATACAGTACATACATATACATACATACAGTACATACATATATACATACAGTACATACATACAGTACATACAGTGCATACATACATACAGTACATACATACAGTACATACATATACATACATACAGTACATATATATACATACATACAGTACATACATATACAGTACATACATACAGTACATACAGTGCATACATACAGTACATACATATACATACAGTGCATACATACATATACATACAAACAGTGCATACAGTACATACATATGCATACATACAGTGCATACATACAGTACATACATATACATACAGTGCATACATACATATACATACAAACAGTGCATACAGTACATACATATACATACATACAGTGCATACATACAGTACATACATATACATACAGTGCATACATACAGTACATACATATACATACAAACAGTGCATACAGTACATACATATACATACAGTGCATACATACAGTACATACATATACATACAAACAGTGCATACAGTACATACATATACATACAGTGCATACATACAGTACATACATATACATACAAACAGTGCATACAGTACATACATATACATACAAACAGTGCATACAGTACATACATATACATACAGTGCATACATACAGTACATACATATACATACAAACAGTGCATACAGTACATACATATACAGTACATACATACATACATACAGTACATACATACATACATACAGTACATACATATACATACATACAGTACTGCAGGAGAAGATGGACCAGTGGACTCACTCCTTCACTGTATCCAACAGATCAGTGAGTGGATGCAAAACAACTTCCTTCAGCTAAACGCAGACAAAACTGAAATGATTGTCTTTGGTCCCCAGAAACAAAGAGAGAGCGTCATCTGTCACCTACAGTCTCTCTCCCTAAAACCTTCAAACAAGGTCAGAAATCTAGGGGTAATACTGGACTCAGACTTAAATTTTAATAGCCACATCAAATCAGTAACATCAGCAGCTTTTTACCATCTAAAAAACATTGCCAGGATCAAAAACATAGTGTCTAAAGCAGACTTGGAGATTCTTATCCATGCATTTGTCTCCAGTAGGTTAGACTACTGCAATGGCCTGCTCACAGGTCTGTCCAAACAGGCTGTAAAACAGCTGCAGTACATTCAAAATGCAGCAGCTCGAGTCCTGACTAGAACCAGGAAGTACGACCACATTAGTCCAGTTCTCAGGTCTCTGCACTGGCTTCCTGTGGCTCAGAGAATAGACTTTAAAACAGCTCTGCTTGTTACAAGTCTCTCCATGACCTCGCACCAAAATATATTAGTGACATGTTAGTCCCATATGAACCAGCCCGGACTCTGAGGAGCACAGGGACTGGACTCCTGTTAGTGCCCAGAGTCAGAACTAAACATGGGGAGGCTGCTTTTCAGATTCATGCTGCTAAAATCTGGAACAGTCTTCCTGAAGATGTGAGACAGGCCTCCTCTCTGACAATGTTTAAAACCAGGTTAAAAACGGTGCTGTTTAGCTGTGCATACAACTGAGGGATTTTATATTTTTATCTTTCGTTTTAATGTTCTGTGATTATTTATGATTATAATGCTATCTTGTTCAGCACTTTGAGTTGCCTTGTGTATGAATTGTGCTATACAAATAAACTTGCCTTGCCTTGCCTTACAGTACATATATATACATACATACAGTACATATATATACATACATACAGTACATATATATACATACATACAGTACATACATATACATACATACATACATATACATACATACAGTACATACATACAGTACATACATATACATACATACAGTACATACATATACATACATACAGTACATACATATACATACATACAGTACATACATACAGTACATACATATACATAGGTACATATGTATCTTTCTGTGTGGATGTGTTTCTGTGGTGGAAACCTGAATGTCTCCTACAGGGATCAATAAAGTATCTATTTATAAAGACTTTCTGGGGTAGTTTGTCAACAATAACAATATTCTTACTGTTTTAAATGAGTAAATGATGTTGACGTTTGAAGGTTAGTTTTAGAACTCAGGCCCTTTAAGTGTCGCCTGGAGACTGTGTGAAAGTGGGGCAGACAGAGCTCACACAGGACGTCCCAGCGGAGGCAGAGGTATCAGAGCACACAGGAGCGACTGCAGGTGACACACACACACACACAGCCTGGAACTCAAATATATAAACATGACAGATCAGATCCCTGTTTGTTCTAACCTCAATGACTGGACTTGCTACAGCAAAATCCAATCATATTATTTTTAGACCTGAAGTGCTGTTGCATTTTATTATTATTACTATTGTTAGATTTTTAGAATGATCAATTGTTTGGTTTGTGTGGATGGATTTGTTTTTGCTGCTACTGGACACCTGAATAAAGTGTGTGTGTGTCTGTGTCTGTCTGTCTACTGTATCTGTGTGTCTCTCTGCCTGTCTCTGTCTGTCTGTCCGACTGTCTATCTGTCTCTGTCTATGTCTGTCTGTGTGTCTGTCTGTCTGTCTGTCTCTGTCTCTCTGTCTATCTGTGTCTTGTCTGTCTGTCTCTGTCTGTGTCTCTCTGCCTGTCTCTGTCTGTCTGTCCGACTGTCTATCTGTCTCTGTCTGTGTGTGTGTCTGTCTGTCTGTCTGTGTATGTCTGTGTCTGTCTGTCTATCTGTGTCTTGTCTGTGTGTGTGTGTGTGTCTGTCTGTCTGTCTCTGTCTGTGTCTCTCTGCCTGTCTCTGTCTGTGTCTTGTCTGTCTGTCTGTCCGACTGTCTATCTGTCTCTGTCTGTGTCTCTGTCTCTCTGCCTGTCTGTCTGTGTTTCTCTGCCTGTCTGTCTCTGTCTGTCTGTCTATCTGTCTGTGTCTGTCTGTCTGTCTGTCTGAGAACAAAAATAAACGACACACAAAAATTAAAATTGATTGACTTTGTTTAAAGCTAGGGCTAAGGGCAAACAAAGTAAAACACTGACTTTAACCCCGTAACCTCGGGAACAAATATGCATCATAGAATTTAACAATTATTATGGCAAAAGAAGTTGGACTTTTTGGTTTAATGTAAAAACTAATGGATGTACCTAAGAAACTAAAGAAGGAAATTTGCTACATTGCCAAATTTGGTCATTGAATGCTCTTTCCCGACGACAGCCCTGATCTCTGTGTTCTTCAGCCCTCACCCCCAGCGCAGACTCAGAGCCCAAAAGAAACACAAACATCAACATCAACATTACAGTCCTTTACGGTTTGTGTGGGACCCATGATAACTGACATGTATAACAATAACGCTGTAATAACACCCACCTCCTATTTTCCTCTTAATTTCCTTGTGTAAGTACAAGCACATTAGCATATTTTAGACAGGAGAAACTCAGGTAACCCACCGGGCAGGTTGAGGCAGCTTGGGGAGTCCTAATTGAAAAGTGTACTCAGACGAGGAATGCCAGGGTGATGTCGTTTCTCTCTAAAAATAAGGATCATCCTAAACACTATTCGACCACAAGTGCTACACTCTCTTCAGTACAGGTCCTCGTCACTGATCAGCTCCATCTGTGACGAGGACAGACGTAGGTTTGATCCGTCACCATTTCACACGAATTAAAGTCTAAAAGCGCGAGGCCCCGATGAGACCCTCCAGCAGCGGAACAATTCAATTACATTACATTTTTGGCCTAGGGCCGTAACACACAGGAAATGCAAAGATAAAAAAGCCATTGGTCCATCAGGGGCAGATGACCATTAATGTTGTTGAATGTCGAGTGTCCTGGATCATCACCACTGTCCTTAGATCCTCCTGAAGACACTGGTGGTGGCAACAGGGAAAAGTGGGTGTGAGCGAGTGAAGGAATCCTGAGGCGGAGGAGGCGGTTGTGGCTTGAAAAGGCGTTTGGTTTGCGGTGTCCGGCTTTTAAGTGCTGGCCTGATTAGCAGCTGCAAGGAGTTGATGAAAATGATGTGAGGCTGAGGAAGGCGTGGCCCGCTGCGAGGCAGTCTACCAACCATAGGTCTACATAGTCTACCAACCATAGGTCTACATAGTCTACCAACCATAGGTCTACATAGTCTACCAACCATAGGTCTACATAGTCTACCAACCATAGGTCTACATAGTCTACCAACCATAGGTCTACATAGTCTACCAACCATAGGTCTACATAGTCTACCAACCATAGGTCTACATAGTCTACCAACCATAGGTCTACATAGTCTACCAACCATAGGTCTACATAGTCTACCAACCATAGGTCTACATAGTCTACCAACCATAGGTCTACATAGTCTACCCACCATAGGTCTACATAGTCTACCAACCATAGGTCTACATAGTCTACCAACCATAGGTCTACATAGTCTACCAACCATAGGTCTACATAGTCTACCAACCATAGGTCTACATAGTCTACCCACCATAGGTCTACATAGTCTACCAACCATAGGTCTACATAGTCTACCAACCATAGGTCTACATAGTCTACCAACCATAGGTCTACATAGTATACCAACCATAGGTCTACATAGTCTACCAGTCTGACCTTCCACTCGAGCTTCATGTGTATTTCGACTGCTAAAAGGAGAAGCTCTCTGCCATTTCTGTTTTATAGAAGCAGTTCTCTGGAGACCCCTGCTCCTGAGTGTAGTGTAGAAGTCATAGTTATATCCACAGAGCACAGTGCCCCTGTCCTCATGAACCCAGTGTGTGCTCTGCTCTGGTTCAGGACCACACCGGACATGGCGGCCATGCACTGGGAGGCCCGCAGGAGGCAGAGCGCCCTGGAGCGGAGAGAGGCGCACAAGCAGCAGGTGAGGGCCCCCAGACACATCACAAGCAGCAGGTGAGGGCCCCACACAGACACATCACAAGCAGCAGGTGAGGGCCCCACAGACACGTCACAAGCAGCAGGTGAGGGCCCCACAGACACGTCACAAGCAGCAGGTGAGGGCCCCACAGACACATCACAGGCAGCAGATGAGGGCCCCACAGAGACACATCACAAGCAGCAGGTGAGGGCCCCACACAGACACATCACAAGCAGCAGGTGAGGGCCCCACACAGACACATCACAAGCAGCAGGTGAGGGTCCCCCAGACACATCACAAGCAGCAGGTGAGGGCCCCACACAGACACATCACAAGCAGCAGGTGAGGGCCCCACACAGACACATCACAAGCAGCAGTTGAGGGCCCCACAGACACATCACAAGCAGCATGTGAGGGCCCCACACAGACACATCACAAGCAGCAGGTGAGGGCCCCACACAGACACATCACAAGCAGCAGGTGAGGGCCCCCCAGACACATCACAAGCAGCAGGTGAGGGCCCCACACAGACACATCACAAGCAGCAGGTGAGGGCCCCCCAGACACATCACAAGCAGCAGGTGAGGGCCCCACACAGATACATCACAAGCAGCATGTGAGGGCCCCACAGACACATCACAAGCAGCAGGTGAGGGCCCCACACAAACACATCACAAGCAGCAGGTGAGGGCCCCACACAGACGCATCACAAGCAGCAGGTGAGGGCCCCACACAGACACATCAAAAGCAGCAGGTGAGGGCCCCACACAGACGCATCACAAGCAGCAGGTGAGGGCCCCACACAGACACATCACAAGCAGCAGGTGAGGGCCCCACACAGACACATCACAAGCAGCAGGTGAGGGCCCCACAGACACATCACAAGCAGCAGGTGAGGGCCCCACAGACACATCACAAGCAGCAGGTGAGGGCCCCACAGACACATCACAAGCAGCAGGTGAGGGCCCCACACAGACACGTCCCAAGCAGCAGGTGAGGGCCCCACAGACACATCACAAGCAGCAGGTGAGGGCCCCCAGACACATCACAGGCAGCAGGTGAGGGCCCCCAGACACATCACAAGCAGCAGGTGAGGGCCCCCAGACACATCACAAGCAGCAGGTGAGGGCCCCACACAGACACGTCACAAGCAGCAGGTGAGGGCCCCACAGACACGTCACAAGCAGCAGGTGAGGGCCCCACAGACACACCAGTGCTCCTGATCACAAATGGACTTAACACCAGAATTCCTAGAGATCAATCTTTTGGTCTTTGTGACTTTTTCTGGTTTTTTATGCTGTTTATTTTTCTTGCTATTATATTTTATAATGAAACTCTCTTTGGTTTCCATGTGAGTGATTCTCCCTTTGCTCAACCATTTGGTGGATCACTTTTTGAGTCACTATCGAACTGAAATCTCCCTCTTTGGGGAATCTCACTTGGTTTTAGGCACTTTTACCATCAAACTGCGTCTCAACCATTTGGTAAAGGCGGATAATATAAAAGATTAAAAAAACCTTGGGATTCAGAAAACAAAAAAATGGTAGAAAATCCCAAAAAGACGAAAATACATTGTTTTCTTCAAGAAGGGAACATTAACTGAAATTCTAATGTAGCCGTTTTTCGGTCGCTTTCTTCCCACGGTAGTTTTATCAAGGTTCTGGTTCTTGACTGGTTCAGTTTGGTTTCCCACCGGAGAAGCGAGGGCTGGTTACCTTGACAACACGCTGTTTACAGTCAGCAGTTTGCATTTGGTCTTTATTATTTGGTTTATATTCACCAATTTTAGCTCTTATTAAAAGTGAGTAAAATCTGCAGTGACTGAATAAACCTGGTGAAAAATGACATTGGTTTGAATGAGAGCAGACAAAAAGACGGCTGTGGGAGTTCTAATAGTTTCATAATTGTAGGAGTCGTGTTATTAGAGTATAATAATGAGCCACAGCGGTCAGAGATGAACTGTGAGGGTCTACAAAGCACTGGTGGATCACTGACTTAGTCCAACTGAAGACCCAAGTAAACCTGGGTCTGTCCCGGTGTGAAAGACCAGTCCATTAAAGCGGATCCTGCTGAGACACGGCCAGCAGAGCCAGACAAGAGCACATGTCAGGCTTATGTTAGAAATGTATGTAACTGGACACATACAGGCCGGAGTTTCAGTGTTTTGGTTTCGTTTCGTTACATGAGGCAAAATCAGGAGTGTTTTTCAATGACGCACTTCATTTGACCGCACTTTAAAAGAAAAAGTCTTACAGTTGTTTTATATCTATTTTAGCTCAGGGTTAAAGTTCAGTGGAACTCAGTCTTTTGAAAATCCTGTTTCCAGCTCTGCCACATGAGCCGAGAGGCAGTGGTCACCTGAGCCCAGGTGTGATTGGAGATCATTTCCTCCCACTGACACACACACACACACAGGCGCGCACACACACACACACACACACACAGGTGCTCACACACACACGCACACAGGCGCTCACACACACACACAGGCGCACACGCAACCACCCCCAATGACAGATCTATGCCACAGGAGTGTGAGGCTCTCAGGATACACACAAACGTATAATATGTACAGACACACACCACACACACACACACACACACACACACACACACACACATGAAGAAAAACTATCCTAGCACTATCAAACATATAACTCAATTAAATTCACATCTGGTTAACCTGAATTACACCTGTGCGTGTCTCTATGTCCATGTGTGTGTCTGTGTGTGTGTGTGTGTCTGTGTGCATGTGTGAGTCTGTGTGTGTCTGTGTGCATGTGTGTGTGTGTGTGTCTGTGTGCATGTGTGTGTCTGTGTGCATGTGTATGTGTGTGTTTGTGTGCGTGTGGTGTGTGTGTGTCTGTGTGAATGTGTGAGTCTGTGTGTGTCTGTGTGCATGTGTGTCTGTGTGCATGTGTGTGTCTGTGTGCATGTGTGTGTTTGTGTGTGTGTGTGTGTTTGTGTGTGTGTGTGTGGTGCAGCTGCTCCAGGAGGACAGGGCCCCGGCTGGCCCCCACCCAGAGACAGAGGCCGGCCCTTCAGTGAACGCAGGTCAGTCCAGGACCACAGAGGCCCCTGACTGAATGAATGAAACCCTGGATCCTGGGTCCACCAGAACTCTCCTTCTGCACATGGTGCTGACTTTGTTTATGGTCTTAACTGTCGTCATGGAAACCTACAGTATCAGAGCTAAAGATATGTGTGTAAATATAAAGTGAGGAAGGGCCAGCTCTGGTCCGAGGTGTCAGTGAGTGGTCAGTGAGTTGTCAGAGAGTGGTCAGTGAGTGGTCAGAGTGGTCAGAGTGGTCAGTGAGTGGTCAGAGTGGTCAGAGTGGTCAGTGAGTGGTCAGAGTGGTCAGAGTGGTCAGAGTGGTCAGTGAGTTGTCAGAGTGGTCAGAGTGGTCAGTGAGTGGTCAGAGTGGTCAGAGTGGTCAGTGAGTGGTCACAGTGGTCAGAGAGTGGTCAGAGTGGTCAGAGTGGTCAGAGAGTGGTCAGTGAGTGGTCAGAGGTGTCAGTGAGTGGTCACAGTGGTCAGAGAGTGGTCAGAGTGGTCAGAGTGGTCAGTGAGTGGTCAGAGTGGTCAGAGAGTGGTCAGAGAGTGGTCAGAGTGGTCAGAGAGTGGTCAGAGAGTGGTCAGAGAGTGGTCAGAGTGGTCAGAGTGGTCAGAGAGTGGTCAGTGAGTGGTCAGAGTGGTCAGAGTGGTCAGTGAGTGGTCAGAGTGGTCAGAGAGTGGTCAGAGAGTGGTCAGAGAGTGGTCAGAGTGGTCAGAGTGGTCAGAGAGTGGTCAGTGAGTGGTCAGAGTGGTCAGAGTGGTCAGTGAGTGGTCAGAGTGGTCAGTGAGTGGTCAGAGAGTGGTCAGAGAGTGGTCAGAGTGGTCAGAGTGGTCAGAGAGTGGTCAGTGAGTGGTCAGAGTGGTCAGAGTGGTCAGTGAGTGGTCAGAGAGTGGTCAGTGAGTGGTCAGTGAGTGGTCAGAGGTGTCAGTGAGTGGTCAGAGTGGTCAGTGAGTGGTCACAGTGGTCAGAGAGTGGTCAGAGAGTGGTCAGTGAGTGGTCAGAGAGTGGTCAGTGAGTGGTCAGTGAGTGGTCAGAGAGTGGTCAGTGAGTGATCAGTGAGTTGTCAGAGTCAGTCTCAGGGCAGTGCTAACCCCTCACAGCTGTTGGATCTGTGTGTTACAGAGGAGCAGTGTCCTCACTGTAAGAGCACTCTGACCACGACCGTGACCGGCAAGGTGCCCAACCGCTACTCTGTGAGTACTACTGCTTAGAGCCCTGCACGGGCCTATTATCTGGGCCCGAGCCCGGCCCTGGCCCGAGGGGGTGGCGCCCCAGCCCGGCCCGGCCCGATATGGTTTCTGAACTTTCAGGCCCGAAACCCGCATCAAGCCCGCCTTTTTTTTTTTTTTGTAACCTCCCATAACAATGTTTTAGCGTAGTATATAGTGCCGCGCACTGATATGAACGCAGACTTAGCTAGAGGGCGGAGTTATACATGGTAGTGATGTGTTGCAATGAGTTCTGTGTGTGCGGAGTGAGCGGCCGCAGCTGTATGATGACCAGATGCTGCAACACACCTGTAAGTAACGCTATGTGGCGTCAATGACAACACTACACAGAACAACAAACACTACTGCGTGATAGAACGCTATATTCAGTGGGTGCGTTCGTAAATGTATTCTGCCGCTCTGAAAATGAAGAGCCCGAGCCCGGCCCGTGTCCGAGGTCATTATGCGGTCATCGGCCCGAAGCCCGGCCCTCGGGCTGTCGGGCCGTCGGGGCCCTCGGGCCAAGGGCTCAAGTGCAGGGCTCTACTACTGCTACTGCTGCTGCTGCTGCTACTGCTACTACTCCTAGATAGAGCTTCCACTGGCCCATAACAGCCTGTCTCTGTCAGTCCCTGCAGTACAAGCAGCAGTGGTGAGGACTCGTGCTGCCCTCTAGAGGCCGCTTCATGTCACAACACTGCGTCTGGAGTCCTGCTGACGACATCTGCACCAAACTATGAGCTCTTGATCCTTTACCTGCTGTGCTGCTCAATATTGTAGTGTGTATTTTTGTTTCCCGAAAATACATAGAAATATATATTTTTTTGTATTTCCCCCGGGGAGCTGTGGATGTCTGCAGCTTCCCAAAGCAGGGGAAACATTAGGTATCCATGAAGTAGATAATACTTCGGTGGCTGTTTAATCCATAGGGCAAGAAATGAGTATATTCGGACATTTTCATAAACATTTAATGAATAGTATTGAAAATGTACTTTGTTGAGGTATTATTGTAAAGAATCCAAAGTAATATTGTTGTTTGTGGCCGATCACACAATGTGTAAAAGATTATTAGAACGAGCCCTGCCATCTGCTGGTATAAATGGGGAATTACCTGCTGTTGGGCTCTACATCAGTGCAGCTGTAAAGAACAGAAATGGTCCGGCCTCAGAGGAAATGCTTTGTTATGAAAGGGTGAAAACTGCTCTTGCCTGTACTATATATGTGAATATACCATACTATAAACATAACTATGTGAACATACCATAAACATAACTATGTGGACATACCATAAACATAACTATATGTGAACATACCATAAACATAACTATATGTGGACATACTATAAACATAACTATATGTGGACATACTATAAACATAACTATATGTGGACATACTATAAACATAACTATATGTGGACATACTATAAACATAACTATATGTGGACATACTATAAACATAACTATATGTGAACATACCATAAACATAACTATATGTGGACATACTATAAACATAACTATATGAGGACATACTATAAACATAACTATATGTGAACATACTATAAACATAACTATGTGGACATACTATAAACATAACTATGTGGACATACCATAAACATAACATATGTGGACATACCCTGTAGCCTGAACTAGCGTGCTGGATTAAAAAAGTGCAAAACGCGAAAACAGTGAAAAATCCGCACAGCTCTGTTGCTCTCAATCTGTGTCTTTTATTTTCAGACTGCGTTGTAACGTTTTGGGCTGAATCCCTGGGATTCATGTCTGATGAGGGGCCTCAGCCCGAAACGTTACTACGTTGTCCGTAAATAAATGATACTAATTGGAAGCAACAGAGCTGTGCGGATTTTTCACAGTTTTAACACACTACACATCCCCATCGCTGAGACACTGACAGAATATCACAGAATATCACAGAATATCACAGAATATCACAGAATATCACAGAATATCACAGAATACCAGAATGTGACAATTCTGCACTCACCGGTTTGACACATGGAAACATTATTGTGGTCAAACTAAAGACATCAGACAGACACACACACACCCACACACACACACACACACACATACACACACACACACACACACACACATACACACACACACACACACACACACACATACACACACATACACACACACAGACACACACATACACACCCACACACCCACATACACACACACACACACCCACACACACACATACACACACACACACACACACCCACACACACACACCCACAGACACACACAGAGGATGATATTGTGAACATCTGTTTTCTGATTTGACCAGTAAAATAGTGAAAGTCAACTTCAGTTGTAAACATTTGTGTGGAATTATTTGGACTTTGGCTGCGACACGTGAAGTCTCAAAATCAGAATCATTTTTATCGCCATTTAGAAGTAACATTCTAGGAACATTCTTTGGTAAATACTTTATTTGATACTAAAAATAAATTCAGTAAAAATAGATTCAGTAAAAAGACATAAATAATCATGCCGGGCAGGGCGGGGCGTTGACACAGTCCTGTTTCTCTCGAGCAGGAGGGTCCCTGCAGTCCACCAACGGCTCCCCGACAAATGTGGCCGGCTGCTGCTTTGGTCCGATGGTGGGACTGCAACAGATGAGCACAGACATAGGAGTGAAAAGTACTCAAGTAAATGTATTGAATTGAATATACAGTATGATGTGAATATTTACGTTGGCGTTTCAAGTGAAAATAAACGGATACAGACATAAATAACTCATTTGGAGGCAAATCCTTCGTTTTCAAAAAGGAAGAAAACAGCTCTGTCCATGATGTCCCAAAAGAGGATTATCAAGTTGTAATGTGTTTGAAAACAAAGCATTTAGACAGAAGGGGTGGTTCCTGGTGTGTGGACGGAGCTAAAATCAACTCCAGGTTTTTGATACTGTTTTATATTGGATAAAGCAGCACGGTTAAACATATCAAAATCCCCGGTCACTGAGAGACGTGGGCGAGTGTGGAATTTAGACACAAATTTATTTATGAAAGTTTAGTACATTGCGTTCATAAATACGTACATAAATACATAAATTCAGCGCAGCATTCATCAACAGCCGCAGGTGCTTACGCTCAGGTCTGGGCGGATCTCACACGTTCTCCCACTTTGGATCTTAAGCATTTGGAATCTACACCCAAAATATACACCCTTTTCTGCACAAGCTTCATAAAAGAGGGCCAATCCAACCGAACTGTTTTCTAGTCCACTGCCCACCTGTGAAGAAGGTTTAAAACTACACACACGTCACATCAGGGACAATACTCTGCATAATGACAGCGTAACGAGCCGTGGAGCTGTGTTTGGGGGAGTGAAGCTCTCACCCTCAGAGTTGACTTTATAGAAAATGACTAAAGAGGACAAACCTGCCGTAGTCCAGTTTGTGACTTTAGAAGACTCATTTTGAGAATGGGTTTGTTTTAATCATTTTGTTTTTACACATTCCTGTCTTCCCTGTGGTGGAAGCTGACACGGGTCCAAACAACACACCAACCTTTCTGAGTCATCACAGCATTTCTGCACAAGTCAAGAAACAGCAGCAGCGGGGAAAAGATCATAGAAGCATCACATGATTAAATAAATGAAAAAATGACTAAAGAAAGAAAGTGAGGTCTTAATCACAGAGCGAGTAGTGGGGGGTGTAGGGTCAGAGAGGGTTTGGGCCTGTGTGTTACCTGAGGTAGTGTCATGTGTTACTTTATATGTCTTTATATGTGTGATGGGGGTTGGAATACATAGATAGATAAATACTTTAATGATCCCCATAGGAGAAATTCAGGTGTCTAGTAGCAGCAAAAATTAAAAATAAAATGTATCCTTAAAAAGCTAATTATAGTATTAATCAGCAACAGCCTCAGGTCACAGCAGCAGAGGTGGAGTAGCCTCTGGGTGGAGCAGGACGGGTCACAGCAGCAGAGGTGGAGTAGCCTCTGGGTGGAGCAGGACGGGTCACAGCAGCAGAGGTGGAGTAGCCTCTGGGTGGAGCAGGACAGGTCAAAAGGTGGAGTAGCCGCTTGGTTCAGACCATTTTCTCTGCTCTGGTCCAAAGTAAAATGGTAAATGCTTTGTTAGCATTGTTCAAAAAGTTAGCATTCCTCCAGTGGATTTTCACCTGGTCCACTTGGTTCGAACCATGAATCCTCTCTGCTCTGGTCTGGACCAGTGTAAAACCATGAACACTGTACTGCAGCAACATCTCAGGCAGAAAAAAGCCAGAAAAATAACAATTGTAAAACACAAAACAACAGTTTCAGAGACACTTAGGACTTGCAGCTGAATCCAAACACTTATTTGAATGGAATCAAATACGCGGTTTTTTTAATCCAATCCTTCTTTGAACCATGTACTTGTTATTTGTATGTTATTATTATTATTATGTAGAAATATGTGCTGAGCAGGTTCCAAATAAAAAAATCAAAGAATCTAATAAAAAGGATGCTTTAAGAGTAAGACATAAGTCAGGACTGCACCAGGACGGACTCACCTGTAGTCCGTGTAGTCCGGGTCACACCTCTGCTTGCGGGAGCGTCTGGACCTGTCTCCACAGGGGGGCAAGCACTGGCTCCACTCGCCCCAGCCGTTCCAATGGCCCTTCACTGGAGACACACACAACGGATCACAGACCAACACCACCGCACAAACTGATCACAGACAAACACCACCGCACAAACTGAGAGAAACCACAACTCCTTCACTTCTGGAGCTCCTCCAATTTCACCAAAATCACAAAGAACCGGCGTTAATTAAAGGAGCAGTGTGTAAACACGTGGCCAAAAGTGGTACTGCAGCCTCTCCCACTCTCCCTGACTCAGGTTGCCAGATATGCAGACGAATCCAGCTGGGACCATAACAGCTGAATAGACAAGAGTTTTGTCAACAACAAATCTATAACCAACACCTTTTTCACAAAGATAGAAATCCTGGTTTTATTCCTTGTTTTGTCGTTAATGGTTTGAGAATCATAACGAGACCTTTTTTAGTTCTGCGCCACATGGTACTTTACCAGTGAGATTAGCTCCACGCGGTGAGTTCTGGCGTCCGGATCACAGACTTTCTGATTGGTGAAACGGAGGAGGGCGGGACATCGAAATGAAAACAATAACAAGACTTAGGGGCTGTGAAAGTAATTTTGAAATTCAAATATCTCTGAACTACTGTTACCAGTTAAAGAAGTATTGGAAAGAGCAGTTTATTCATTCCTTTTGTCAGATTAGGGCCCTTTAATGATGACTCGACATGAAAATCTTACATATTTTACTACTTTAATATATTTTGATGGGTAAATACATGTCTGTAATGTCTGTGCGACTGACCGTAGCAGCCGGTGACGTCGTAGCACACCCGCGTCTCGGACAGGTTCTCGTCCAGCGGACACGGAGCGCCCCCTAGTGCTCTGTGCAGGCAGCGGCGCTCGCGGGACTGGCTGCCCCCCGTGGGCTCGCAACGGAGGGAGTACGAGGCGTCGAAGACGTCCTGACAGGGGCCCCACGAGGACCACTCCGACCACACGCCGTCCACTGCACATTGGGAAAGTCACACAGGTTTAGGCCCGGTTCAGTCCTGGTTCGGTCCTGGTTCAGTCCTGGTTCAGTCCTGGTTCAGTCCTGGTTCAGTCCTGGCCTGTACAGCGATGTATGTATTTTAGACTTTCAGATTGTACAATAAGGACTGATAAACACTGCCCACCTGACCTCAAATGTGGAATATAGAACCACATGTGTCCCAGACCCTGATGCCGTGAACTTGAACAGATCTAAACATAAAACTATATATTTATTGCACTTGAACAAACAGTGCTAGAGATTTTATTTCATTTTTGTGCTGTGTGCTCATTTCTACTGCTCTGTATCCGGAGATGCCACACTGAAATGTCTCCACTGTGGGACAAACAAAGGATCTCTCTCTCTGTAGAAGTAGCACACATTCCTGCTTCCAGGTGTGTTTATGTGAACAGCAGAGAGACATGAGGAAGTGGGCGGGAAACACACAGAACTTATTAATACCTTATTATTAAACCATGAAGCTCTGCAGGACGGGGCCTGGTTAGACTGGTCCTGTCCTGCTTTGGGGGTGTTTGTGTCAGAAGTTCCTGATATCAGCGTGGGCGGATCTAAAAACAGCTTCAGGTCTGTGTGTTGTCATGGTGTGAACTTGCTGTTAATTTATCTGGTTCTATTTTGATATATTTTTGTCTTTGTGATATATTCTGGTCTGTCTTGTTGATTGTTGACCCTGTTGCCCCATGTCTTCTTCCTGGTTTCAGTTTTTACCTTTTGTGGCATTTATTTAATTCTATATTTTTTGCATGTTCTGCTCATTGTCCTGGTTTATCCGTGACGTGTGTGATGTTGTAAGATGATCCATGGTCCTCACCGGGACAAGGCTGCTTGGTGTCGCACACCTGGGAGCGCCTGTCGTCTCCCTCACAAGACCGCCCTCCATGCTTGGGGGTGGGGCTGTCGCAGGAGCGGGTGGACACTTGGAGGCCCACCCCACAGGAGACCATGCAGGGGCCGAAGGCGGACCAGGGCCCCCAGGAGCCGTGCACTGCAACACACACACACACACACACACAAAATCACTCTCAGTTTAAAGGAGGTTTATGATTCAAATCTCTAGAAGAAATGAATAATCAAATGAATACGGTGGAACTTCATGGTGAGCCCCGCCACAGAAACACTACAACATTAGCACTTTGTGGATTCTGTTTGAATGCATGATTGTTGTAGTCCTGCCGAGTTCTAAGAGGATGTTTCCATTGCAGGCTGCCGGTTATTTATCTGTGTATAGCTCGCCCGAAACAACAATGGTTTTCTCGTAGGACTTAAAAATGATGTTGACTCTCAAACACACAGAGCCACAAGGTCCATAAGGGCAGAGATTAATGTGAATAAATGTTCATAAATGTTCATGAATGTTCATAAATGTCCTGGATCATCATCACTGTCCACCACATTGGAATATTTGGTATCTTGAAGGTCATAGATGTGTTTCGAAATTTCCCCACTGTGGGACGAATAAAGGAATTCTTATCTTATCTTATTTATACTATTATTTTATGACTATTTTAAAAGCTCAGAAGTTTCAAATGGAAAAACAAAAAAAATACTAAAATGTAATTACACATTCTGGACTAAATAGAAATTGAAACAGGGACATGTTCAAAAAGAAGCAGATTTTTTAAATATTATTTGTGATTGGTTGAAATGTAAAGAGAAAAGCTGAACACATGTCCAGACCGACCCTGGCAGAAGCTGAGGTCGGGGCATGGGCCACTCTCCTGCTGGGGCCCCTGGCATGGCTCACTGTCTCCCAGGGTGAAGCAGGTGCGATGCCTGGTCCTGTGTGGAGCCTCCCCTCCGTCAGGGACACAGGGCTCAGAGCAGTCGGACCACTGGGACCAGCCCGTCCAGGAGCTGACCACTGCAGAGAGAGCAAAAGCCACGGGTCTCAGTCTGTTCACGCACAAGTACATACAGAGGGGCTCAGTCCTGGTCTAGTCCTGCTTCAGTCCTGCTTTAGTCCTGCTTCAGTCCTGCTTTAGTCCTGCTTTAGTCCTGCTTTAGTCCCGCCTCAGTCCCGCCTCAGTCCCGCCTCAGTCCCGCCTCAGTCCCGCCTCAGTTCCGCCTCAGTCCTGCCTCAGTCCCGCCTCAGTCCCGCCTCAGTCCCGCCTCAGTCCCGCCTCAGTCCCGCCTCAGTCCAGCCTCAGTCCAGCCTCAGTCCAGCCTCAGTCCAGCCTCAGTCCCGCCTCAGTCCCGCCTCAGTCCCGCCTCAGTCCCGCCTCAGTCGAGCCTCAGTCAAGCCTCAGTCCTGCCTCAGTCCTGCCTCAGTCGAGCCTCAGTCCTGCTTCAGTCCTGCCTCAGTCCTGCCTCAGTCCTGCCTCAGTCGAGCCTCAGTCCTGCTTCAGTCCTGCCTCAGTCCTGCCTCAGTCCTGCCTCAGTCCTGCCTCAGTCCTGCCTCAGTCCTGCTTCAGTCCTGCCTCAGTCCTGCCTCAGTCCCGCCTCAGTCCCGCCTCAGTCCAGCCTCAGTCCCGCCTCAGTCCCGCCTCAGTCCCGCCTCAGTCCAGCCTCAGTCCAGCTTCAGTCCTTGAACCTGGACAGGGGCCGCTGCACTGGGAGCTCTGGGTGCTGGGTCCTTCACAGAAGCGTCCTCCGTACTGTGGCGGGGGCTGGTCACAGACGCGGACACTGAGCCTGATGCCCTCCCCACAGGACACGGAGCAGGGCCCAGGGGCCGACCAGGGGCCCCAGCCTCCATCCACTGTGGAGCCAAACACACACTTTGGAGTCAGAGGAAGTTCATATTTTAACACTTCAACGTTTGAAATATTTCTATAAATATGAATATTGTGTTTTGAAGGTTATTTACTGCATTTAGTACAACTCAGTTTGATGTGTGCCCCAGACACACATGTGTGCGTCTGTGCATCTGCGTGTTTGTGTGTGAGCGTCTCTGTGTCTGCGTCTGCATGTGTGCATCTGTGTGCGTCTGCGTGTGTGCGTCTGCATGTGTGCATCTGTGTGCGTCTGCGTGTGTGCGTCTGCTTGTGTGCGTCTGCGTGTATCACCTGCACAGTGTTGCATCTCTGTACACTGCTGCTTCTCCTCACTGTCTCCACGGCAGCCGTTGCCGGGGGGGCCCAGGGAGGGGGCGGGGCTGGAGCAGCTGCGGTGCCGTGTTCGAGTTGGGACAGCGCCCCCCACAGGGAAACACGAGGACGAACATTTGGACCAGGGAGACCAGACGGACCACCCTCCGTGAACTGACACACACACACACAAACAACAAACACACACCCACACACAACACAAAACACATATACTGTTATAAGTGACAAAAATAAATAGTTTATTGTCCAGTGGATAGGATTGGGGTCCCTGTTTTGCGGCCTGAGTTTATTTTTCTTTTTATTCCACCCAAGCTGAAACCAAACCCACACCACTGTGACTGTGTGCATTTATGCAGAGAAATAGAGCCTGTTTTTGCATCGTCTTGGTGCTTCACTGACTCTCACCGGGACAGGTGGTGACGGGACAGGCCTGGGTCTCTTCAGCCGCTCCGGTGCAGGCCAGAGCACACTCAGGACGGTCGCTGCACGTCCGGACTCTGCTCTTGACTGCGCCCTCTCCACAGCTCACTGAGCAGGGTGACCACTCTGACCACGGCGACCAGCCCTCCCCTGGAAGACGAAGGGTTAGTGAGCTTTAATATGTCACATTATTGTTCCGTCATCCAAAACAAAACTGTAGGAGTCCATCTTAGATCAGTCCATCAAACAGCAGGATTGAATGAGAACAACTCTCACGTGATAGTTATGGATATTTGATTTTTAATTTGACATATGACATAATCTAATAAATTTTATAGTATGTCACTTTAATTATGTTTGGTGAAACCCCAAAATATATCTTTGTTATTTGTTCCAAAGCACCGTCTTCTGAAACACGTAATGGGGAAGTGAAGCACGCAGAGGTGCGAGTCTTAACCAGAGGAGTTTAAACAAAGTTAAAATGACTGTTCTCTGTTAAATACAAAATGTTGCTGATCACAGTCGTGATCATGTTACATACTTTTAGTGCTCAGGCATGTACAGCACTATAAAGAAAGTAATGGAAGTAAAAGAATGTACATTTTGATCTCGGAGGAGGCTAACATTAGCTTGCTTACTGTAACTAACAGTGTGTTATATCATATATAGATATAAAATGTGTTTATTTTTTTATTTTTAACCCTCTCTAGCTCCTTGCCCTACTGTCTTCTTTACCATCAATATCTTTGGTCCCAAATTTCTTTGTACATGTCTCACCAAAAACGTTTGCCAGAATGTCGCGGGTGCATAGCGCGTGAATCAAATCAAACCAGGCAAACCACCGAAACCATGACAATGGTTTCCATGGATGGTAACTTTCATGGTAACAGTTGTCATGGCAAAAGTTAACATTGCAACGTACACCATAGCAACCGTCGCTAATGCAATCACATGACAATTGTTACCCTGACAACAATCACTATGGCAACTAAAGATGGCGCCTCGTACGGTCGACACGGCTCTTTGCTGCTCTCTTTTTCTTTTGTTTTAACTTTTTAACTGTGCATCTGGCTGTTCCTACACCCGTGAGGAACTTATGAACATCCGACCCACCGTCCCCATGGACCTATTGCCTGTTTTCTTGGCATCTGCGGCTGATTTAGTCCATGTTCTAGACAAAAAAGTGTGGGCCCGTAAAAGGGGAAAGCGTGGAGGCCTGCTCGTGCGTCTTAGGAGGAGAGGAGCGCACGGCTCTCCCCGGCATTTTTCTCTCCAACGTACGCTCACTGGGCAATAAGATGGACCAACTCAGCCTGCTCATGAGAAGAAACAAGGACTTCGCCACATCCTGTGTCCTCTGCTTCACTGAGACCTGGCTAAATGAGCGGATCCCGGACTGCGCTCTGGAGCTGCAGGGCTTTGGGCTGTTCCGCACGGATGCGCTCTCAGGGAAGAGCAGAGGCGGAGGGCTGTGTTTCTACGTCAATACAAACTGGTGTAACGATGTGACAGTGATCTCCAAGCACTGCTCTCCTGCTCTGGAATATCTTTTCATTCACTGTAAACCATTTTACTCCCCTCGTGAAATTGTTTCATTCATTCTTGCCTCTGTTTACATACCTCCATGCGCGGACGCGCTCGAGGCTCAGCGCGCACTTGCAGAGCAAGTACTGGGGGATTTTAAAAAGGGAAACTTGAGCCAGGAATGACCCAAATACAGACAGTTTATCAAATGCCTGACCAGAGAGGAGAACACTCTGGATCACTGTTAAACCACCGTGTGCGGAGCTTTTCGCGCTGTTCCCAAGCCAGCCCTCGGCTTCTCAGATCACTCCATGATCCATCTGGTTCCTGCTTACAGACAGAGACTAAAGCTCTCAAAACCTGCAGTGAGGAGCTCCAAAGTGTGGTCTGATGAAGCTGTGGAAGAGCTGCGCGCATGCATGGAATCTACAGACTGGGACCTTTTCAGAGCTGCCACAGATAGTTTGGATGAATATACGGACACTGTGACGTCATACATTCACTTCTGTGAGGATAGCATCATTCCAACAAGGACCAGGGTCATCTATAACAATGACAAACCCTGGTTCACTGCTAAACTCCGGCAGCTCAGGAAAGCAAAGGAGTCTGCTTTCAGGGAGGGGGACCGCAGCGGCTACAAAGCAGCTAAATATGAGTTCAGGAAAGAACTGAAAGCAGCCAAGTCCCGGCACAGAGAACGACTACAGGAGCAGTTTGGTAACAACGATACTGCTTCTGTCTGGAGGGGCCTACGGGAGATCACCAACTACAAACCCAAAGCCCCCCCCTGTGCTGACGACCACAAGCTAGCTGACGAACTGAACTTATTTTTCAGTCGCTTTGATGCTGCCCCTGACACCTCCTCCACCCCCCACTACTCTAACGACCCACCCATCAGCCCTGCCCCCAGCCTAACAATAGCCGCTAAAGAGATTAAACAACTCTTCCTGAGGCTGCACCCCCGCAAAGCTCCTGGCCCGGACCACGTGTGTCTCCGGCCACTCTGAGACACTGCGCCAGTGAGCTTACTCCTGTGTTCACGGACATTTTCAACACCTCTCTGCAGTCCTGCCATGTCCCGGCCTGCTTCAAATCCTCCATCATTGTCCCCGTCCCGAAGAAGCCCAGGATCACAGGACTCAACGACTACAGACCTGTAGCACTTACGTCTGTCGTCATGAAAGTCATTTGAACGCCTGGTTCTCTCCCATCTCAAGTCCCTCACCTCCCCCCTCCTGGACCCCCTGCAGTTCGCCTACAGAGCCAACAGATCTGTAGACGACGCCATTAACCTGGCCCTCCACCACATCCTACAGCACCTGGACTCCCCGGGGACCTACGCCAGGGTCCTGTTCGTGGACTTCAGCTCTGCCTTCAACACAATCCTGCCATCCCTGCTCCAGGACAAGCTCTCCCAGCTCAACGTGCCCGATTCCACCTGCAGGTGGATCACTGACTTCCTGACGGACAGGAAGCAGCGAGTGCGTCTGTGGAAGAATGTCTCGGACTCTCGGATTATAAATACAGGAGCCCCACAGGGCTGTGTTCTTTCTCCCCTGCTCTTCTCCCTGTACACCAACCACTGCACCTCCAGCCACGACTCCGTGAAGCTGATCAAGTTTGCGGACAACACCACCCTCATTGGACTCATCTCCAACAACGATGAGTCCGCCTACAGGAGGGAGGCGGACCGGCTGGTGTCCTGGTGCAGTGGTAACAACCTGGAGCTGAACGCCCAGAAGACAGTGGAGATGATTGTGGACTTCAGGAAGAGCACTGTCCCCCCGCCCCCACCTTCCGTGATGGACTCCCCCATCACCTCTGTGGAGTCCTTCCGTTTCCTGGGCACCACCATCACCCAGGACCTCAAGTGGGAGCCGACCATCTGCTCCCTCATCAAGAAGGCCCAACAGAGGATGTACTTCCTGCGGCAGCTCAGGAAAGCCAAGCTGCCTGCACAGATGTTGGTGCAGTTCTACACGGTCATCATCGAGTCCATCCTCCCCTCCTCCATTACCTCCTCCATCACCTCCTCCATCACCTCCTCCATCACCTCCTCCATCACCGTGTGGCTCGCTGGAGCCACAGTCAGGGACAAACAGAGACTACAGTGCATTGTGCGCTCTGCAGAGGAAGTGATCGGCCGCAGCCTTCCATCGCTGCAGGACCTGTACGTCGCCCGAGCTCAAGGCCGGGCTGGTCGTATCACAGCCGACCCCTCTCACCTGCACATGGACTATTCCAACCACTCCCCTCAGGCAGGAGACTGCGGTCCATCAGGACTAGAACCTCCCGCCACAAGAACAGTTTCTTCCCCTCTGCTGTTGGACTCTTGAACACTTCTTAACCTGTCCCCCCGCCCTTTATAAAGTCACTTTACTGCCCATCATACGTCACTTTACTTCACTGTACTGCTGTCACCTTACATTGTGTGCACCATGTGCACTTGTATATTGTAAATAGTAACTGTAACTCTATTTTAAATTTAAATTTATTCTTTAGAAGTGTTTTTTATTCTTATTTTTATTATCTCTTTCTGACTGTTGCACTGAGCCAAAGCAATTTCCAAGTCTGTGACCTCCTGTTACTTACGTGGCAATAAACATGATTCTGATTCTGATTCTATTGCTATGGGAACAATCATTATGGGCACAATCACCATTGCAACTGTTACCATGACAACAGATTCATAGTGATGGTTGCTATGGCAATAGTCACCATGACACCATGTCAACTGTTGCTAGGGCAATAGATACCATAGCAGTCGTTGCTACAGCAATCACTATGGCAACTATTTCAAGAGTTTAAATGGTAGCAGTTGCCATAGTGATTACTGTAGCAACGGTTGCTATGATATTGGTTGTTATAGTGATGGTTGCCATGGTTACCGTTGCTATGTCAGCTGTCACCATGGCAATTGTCACCATGGAAATCACTATGGCAACTGGTATCCTGGCAGCTATCACTAATTCAACTGTTACCATGACAACCATACCTATGGGAACATTCCCCATCACAACTGTGGCCATGACAACAGACATACAAACTGAGGAATCTTGTTTGAACAAGAATCAAAAACAGTTGGCAATACTATAGAAATTACTACTATAGAAGCAACCATCACTGTTTCCAAACATCTCACTAGATTTGGAATGTAGTGAGTATTAAGAATGATTATTACCCTGTATTATAATGTCTGGGCCTCAGTCAAGTTAGAGAATCACTAGAGAGTCAATTTAGTTTGGGAGCCGTGCCGTACACTGTGCCAGCCACTCGGGCGTGGCATTCCATCCTCCAGTTATGTGATGGACTGTCTTGTGTGGTGTGATATTTCTGGGCCTCTCTCGCTCTGGTGCTCTGGGTGTGCCGTCCTGTAAGTAGGACTTCAGATCAGCCACATCTGCCATGTTCCGGTGGTACATGTTGTGTGATTAACATTTTTAATAATTTTGGATGGAGGGATGTTAGTATGGGGTGAGATTTGTGTCATATTGATTCATTGATGCAAAAATATAAATTAATTCAAAATCCCAGATTTATCCATAATATCTAATTTGCGTGCTTAGATTTATTCACGTAAAATATAATTTGCACATATATATTTGTGAATAAAACGTATGTTTTGG